GATGGGGCAGAGACAGCAGTGGAGGGGCAAGTTCTCAAGCAGATTATCTTCAGGTGGAGAACAGAGACCAGAAACAGCCAAGAATGACCGAGGAGTGATAATTATTGGGAGGTAAATTGCATAACAGTGCAGTTTGCGAAGTGTAAGTCATACTGTATAAGCAGTAGGAAGCGTTAAGTGCTAAGGCAGTACTGTAGATATTATATACGAGTAGGACACACAGCACATGAGAGAGAAGAACACACTTCAGTACAGATGGAGAGACACCAGATAAGGGGGTGACAAGTTTAAATTAGACCCAAAAGGAAGCCTTCTGAGGTGAGGAATTTGAGTTGAGGTCCATACCTTTGTGACGCCTTTGGTGGAAAGTATCAAAAACACATAGATCAAAATGGCTTTACCAAAAAGGCAGATCTCCTAATAAGTCTCAGAGTCAGCCAGTGCCAGGCAGGCTGGTCCACTGACCCCTCCAGGTCATCAAGGACTAGGGTTTTTTCTGTCTTTCTGTCTTCCCAGCTACAGATTCAGCCTGGTCCTGCAACCAGCTTCCTCAGAGTTCTTGGATCCTCCAAATACTTCCACACTGTCATCTGCCACAACGTCTGATAGGAAGGTGCATCACTTCCAGTGCGTCTCTTTGATCGAGGAGACATATCCCAGAATTCCTGGCTGCACTCTCATACTGCATCGGTCAGAGTCATGTCATGTGCCCCTCTGTGGCAATCAATCACTAGCGAGGAGGATGGATGGGCGAGGAGGTCCGAGAACATTTTGTTAGTGAGAGCTGTAGACCCTGGAGGAGGTGCCTCTGCAGGGCTGGGACTGACCTGCAAGGCGGGGCCCGAGGGGGAGGCCAGTCTAGATCTTCAGGGGCTGGGAAGCTTCTGCCAAGAGGTCAGATTGTGTGGAGGGGGACACTCGGGAGGAGACTGAGATGCAGACTGAGGAGAGAGCCCTGGCTGGAAGCTGGGAGCCAGGTGCAGGGGGCTACCTTCCTATATCCTGAGCTTGGGACCGGCAAAGTGAAGATGGAGACACCCACTTCGCGGAGTTATGGTGGGGCTTCTTGTGAGGAGCAGTGAAGTGAAGGGAAGCTCTCAGTGAAGTCTGGCATGCACAGGAGCTGCCTCCTACTCAGTTCCCATTACGGAGGTGGTTATGAAGACGCAGTGGATGCTTATAGAATGCACACTCGCACCCTTCACGAGCTTTAACCTTAAACCCTGAAAACAGCCACTCTGTTAGGTCCCATTTCCTTTAACAAAGAGAAATCAAAGTTCACAAGTGTGAGGTGACTTGCTTGAGGCTGCCCCTCTACCGGGTGTCAGCACAGGGATTCAGACCCTGGCCATTTGGCAGGAGCTTCCTGAGCTCCCTGCCCCCCCATTGCCCCTTCCCCGGTCCCTGCCCTGGTCTTCTCTGTCTAAGGCTGAGACAGGAAGGCCGAGCATGCTCCCTCTTGGTCTTTCTCACTTGGGGTGTGCCTGGTATATTTCCATCAGTGACCTAAAAGCCCTCTGAGTATTGATTTTAGGGTTACAAGTGGGTCCATTTGTAAATACAGAATCTGTAAGTAATGAGGGTCAACCGTAAGTCTTGGGAGTGGGCAACTCTAGTTACTCACTATGATTGGCTCTTGTTGAACAGTTTTAATTGAATTACATCTGGATGGGGACTCACATTTTTCAAGGCTGGTCATGTCCCAGAGAAGGGGCTCCAAAGATAGTTAACATACAGAGTTGGCTAAAGCCTCTTGCTCTGTTACATTTTTGCTTTACTTTCTACCATGTGAGCTATGCACCCATTCCTGAAAGACAGGGCAAGATGAAGTGCTCTGAAAGAATGCAGATTTGCGGCGGTCTTACTTCGTTTCTTATCACAGTTTCCAAAGTTGACCTGATCCTGACAATGGGCAGTGACCTCAGAGTGACAAGCAGGGACTGGGTGTGCGTAGCCAGCAGAATTTTCCACACATGCATGAGTTGAGGTCTGCACCCTAGGAGGTAGGGTTTGGGAAGCCCCAGCGAGAGGAGACCCCTGGCTGAACCAGGAGGAGGCGAGGGCGGGACCTGATGCATCCACTGCCCCTTGGTATTGGGGAGGTCATCTGCATGGCACAGTCAGAGGAGGCATCCAGAGCAGGGCAGGCTTGGGGTCTTCTTGAACTTCGCCTTCTCCCGCTGCAGTGTCCTTGTGTGTGTGTGTGGGGGGGCACTCTCCATGATGGGGCTCCCTACCCCTCCTAAGAATCTAAATGGACAGCAGGCAGCTCTGCACTGGGTTGGCATTATGGCATTAAGTAAGAAGAACATGACCCTCCGTTCCATTTTCTGCTCTAAGTGGAAATCCTGTTCTGATTGCTCCCTTTATACTGCGGATAATCATGCAGGCTTAAGTCCCTTGAGCAGCCATAAAAGATAGCTGATTTCCCTGGCTCATTGTTTTTCTTTTCCCTTTTCAAAAAGCAAAAGAAGGCTGGGAAAGTGTCTTCTTTTTCCAAAAGTTGGAAAAATTAAAGAGATGCTCTTTCAACTCCCACTGGAACTTGTAGGACTCAGAGGTACATTAGCTGCAATTCTCCACTTAACTTTAAAAACATGTACTGATTGTACAGATGTATGGGGCACTGAGTGATAATTTGATATTTGTATATAGCATGTGATGATCAAATCAGGGTAGTTACCATTTGCATCTCCTTAAACAGGAAACAATTCTAACTCATAATAGTAAGTATTTATTGGCTACAGTGAGATAATTCAGTACATGGATAGGACATATACTGATGAAATCAGGGTAATTAACATGTATCTCGTCATCACTGAGATTGGGAATTTCAAGCCCCTCTCCTCTGGTTGTTCATAAAATATCTAATAGGTTACTGTGAACCGTAGCTCCCACCCCCACAGTTCCGTGGGACACTGGAGCGTGTTATTTCTGTTTGTGTTTGGGTGTTCATGATCTGACCTCCCACGATTCCTCTCCCCAACCCCTGCCAGCCTCTAGCAATCACTAGTGTCCATTCGGGCTGACTTTTAAAAACAGCTACATATAAGAACAAACAGAGTTTGTCTCTCTGTGTCTGAATTAGTTCACTTAACATTTTGTTCCATTCATTTGCTGCAAATGCTATCCCTGTCTTTATAGCTGAGAAATATCCCGTCGTGTGTATGACCATGGTTTTGCTATCCGTTAGCCCAGTGGTGGTGCCTAGGCTGACTCCATTTCTGGGGTGTGTGGGTAGTGCTGCTCCCTCTTCTCTGTGCTGATGTCAGTTCCTTTGACTGCATACCCAGGGCCGGATAGCTGGACGGTGTAATGCATTCCTTTTAACTTCTGCAGACCCTCCGTGCTGTTCTCCATGGGGTTGTGCTAATTTGCAGTCCCACCCGCAGTGCATGAGGATTCCCTCTTCTCCACATCCTTGCTGAAAGTCCCCCCACCCCCTTTGATGGAAGCCATTCTAACTGGGATGAGATAATATTTCATTGTTTTGACTCGCATTTCTCTGATAGCTAGTGAGGTTCAGGGCTTTTTCATGAATTTGTTGGCCATTTGAATTTCTTTTTTTTCAAAAACAGACACACAGACCCATAGAACAGAGTGAAGTGCCCAGAAATAACTGCATGCATTTACAGCCAGCTGGTTCTCGATGCAACCCCAGAAACAGTGGAGAAAGGGCAGCAGTTCGGTAAACAGTGCAGGAAAGGCTGGCTACTCCCACGCAGAAGACTGAAACTGATCCCATCTCACACGCTCTACAGAAATAAACTCAAAATGGGTTAAAAAACCCCACCTGAATATAAGACCTGAAACTACTAGAGGAAAACACAGGCGACCTGGGTGTGGATGTGATTTTAGTGCCGTCTTTGGAGGGGGTCCGGGGGAGATGACGACTTGTCTTAAACGACCTGGAAGCTTCCTCTCTGGAAGTTGGCATTTCTGACCTTGCCCTTGAGTTACTCTCCTGGCACCGAAAGACAGCCGGGCTCATGTCTGGGGCTCAGCAGGGTGGCACTGAGGGTTAGCGCGGGTGCGTGGTGGCAGCACTGCCTGTGTGGTGGTGTTGAGGTGTGGAGCGCCAGTGGCCACACCCTGACGCTGCGTCCCTCAGTCTGCAACCTGGAGCCAGCTGTGTCACACTGCTGGCCTCGGCTTCTTCATCTGTAAAATGAGGTTGGGGCCCCTTGAAGTTTGGTACTTCTATTGCGAATTGATGGTTTATTTTGTCTTTTGCTCATGCCCTGTCCTTCCTCCCATAGAACATCAGCACCTTTTCCTGGTGGTCCAGGAGAGAAAGTCAGCAACATTTGCTTTGTTTATCCAGAAGACGTAACCTGAAATGGAGGCCTAAACTGTCGAACCCTTAACCCGGGAACGCACGAATTAAAGATGGTAGCTCCCAGGGCTGAGTCAAAAGATGACAGTGTGACGTTACATCCTTATCTGCATTCTACAAAATTATGGTTTAACAGGGCAAAAATAACTGCACCTGAGTTTCTAGTGCATTTCACAAGTGCTTTGCCCACCAGAATTTTAATCTACCCCAAAGCTCTCATGATTTTTTTTCAGAAGATCCTCTTTAGGGATTGAATAAACTGTTTTTTTTTTTAGTAACATTAAAAACCCGTTATGTATCTTAAAATATGGCAAAAGAGTGAAATAAGATACACCTGGGGTTTGATCGGGTACATAAGAAAGGTGAGATGAAGACAAAAAAGCACTTGCAAAAGCAACAGAGGTTATGTAGCGCTGTTAAATTGTGTTTGTGTTTTTCCTTGTCAGCATTTTGTAACACAAAATGGTTTTCCTGTAGTCTGTTTATCAGCACCTGTCCCTAATTAGTACTGACAAACTGCCTTTTGTGCCGCTGTGTCCCCTGTGGCGCATGGCCCTGGTGTCTCATCCGTCAGCGCCGCAGTGGTTCGTGAACTTCAGCTGCTCCCGGGCCCCCTCGTGGCTTTCCTGCTGATGCACTTCACGCTTCTCTCTCTTTCCCCAAGGTCTCCAACAACTGTGACTCCATTTTCGTGAACGGGAAGGAGATGAAGAGCAAAGTGGACACGGTCGTAAACTTTACCCACCAGCACTTCACCTCCCAGGTGGAGGTCACTGTTTGGGCGCCCCGGCTGCCCCTGCAGATCGAAATCTCCGACACAGAGCTGAGCCAGATCAAGGGCTGGAGGATCCCGGTGGCCTCCAACAGAAGGTGAGGACCAGAGAGAGGACAAGGAGCTGAGGCTCCGGGGCCCAGGTCTCTGCTGGAGGCAAACTGGCACAGGAAGCCACAGCCACAGTGGCTTAGTGGGCTGTGCCTAGAGTTCCGTGGTGGAGCCGGGCACTTAGTAGCACTACGGCCTGAGGAGAGGAGAGGTGACAGTCACAGATGGTGATAACATCAAACTCCTCATGGGGTGGTTCCCAGGATTCATTATGGCTATGTGGTCATGCAAACCCTGGCATTTAGGGTCTAGCGGTTTCCCAGGTCCTGTTGACACCACGCATTCCCGTGTTGCTTGTGCTCCGTTCCCCTGCCGGTCAGTGTTGACTCCATTCATGGGCGACTGTCCCGTAATTGAGGCAGCCAGCTCTGGAGCAAGGCTGCCTGAGTTTTCACCCTCTCTTCCCACTTGGTATTGACCTTGCGACTTAACCTACCCACTCCTCAGCTGCTTCATCTACAAACTTGGAATAATGCTATCGCTGAAAAGTTGTTCCAGGAATTCAATGAAATCATGCCTACTGCAGCAGACAGAATTCCAAAGCTGACCCCAGCTACCCCGAGACTCCGTCTCCTGGGCATCCAGTTGCACACTAACTGGGCAGTGCGCTGAGGGGCTTTCCAGACAGAACTGCAGCCAGCCAGTCGCCGTAAGACACAGGCGTGACCTGGGTGGACTGGCCCCATCAGATGAGCTCTCTTACTGGCAGCATGGAGGGAAGCTGAATTTGAGGGTCAGAACAGTTAGGATGCTGCTGGTTTTGAAGATGGGTTGAGCCACCTACAAATGAAAGTCGGTGACATCTTTAGGAGCTGGGAGCAACCTCAAAGTGACCACCAGCTGGGGAATGGAGCCCTCAGTCCTTCAACTGTGAGAGGCAGATAACCTGCCACGACCTGGCTACTCCGACATGTGGGCCCTTCCTGCACTTGCAGGGCGGAGGGCAGCTGCACTGCTGCCTTGCTTGTGGCCTTGTGTGTTGCTGTGCAGGAAGCTGGCTGAGCCTGCCTGGGCTGTGACTAACCTCAGAAGTGTGAGCAAATACTTGATGTTGTCTTAAACTGTGACGTTTGTGGTTATTTATTTTGCCACAGTAGGAAAAGCAACAGAGCCCTGGTACCCAGTGGAGCGCAGCTGTAACACTTGCTCTCCTAGCGTAAGCGTGCTGTGTCCTGGGAGTCAGGCAATGGGCAGATGCTGGAAGGATTTTGAGGAACATAATGGGAACATAATGGCCATGAACAAACTGTTAGTAGAAGCAGGGGTGGGAGGCTGCTGCCCATGTGGCATCGGGAGCACTGGAGAGAAATCCTAAATCACCTTATAGAAAGCCAAAATCATGTGAGAAAATGGAACCTTCCAGGGAGGGTTCAGAGGGAAGTGAGGAAGGGTTCTTGTCGGGTAGGAGAAGCAGGCTTAGCAGAAGCGCATCCTGCTGTGGGGTAGAAAGCCAGCAAGGCCAGCCGTGCCACTAGGGTTTCCAGGCTGCCTGCAGTGTGCTCCTTGGATTCCTCTTGCTTCTTATAGTGCAGTGGGAGAGGAGAGGTAAATGGAGGGATGGATAGGCACAAAGGAACAGGACACCAGGGTGCTGGGCTCCTCAGCGCCCCTCCGTGGTGGGGAGTGTGAGACGCACTGCTAGGCCAGTGTGCTGTGCAGTGAAGGCCAGCACGTAGCTCTCCGGTCCTGCTGAGTGTGGGAGGGCAGGGCCAGGGCAGTGGCACTTCAGTGTGCCCACAGCATCTGCCCCCGACCCTGCAGAGAGGGCCTCCCCACCCCCCCGGCAAAACCACCCGGGAGGGGGCACTGCGGCGGCGGGGTGTGTGTGTTAGTGTGTGAGTTCACTGTGTCAGAGGGCCAAGCTGACCAGAGCAGCCCTGCTGGGCTCTGAGCCCGGGCGGCCATTAGAGCTGAAGCCCACAGAACTGGGCCAGGACTTGCACACAGACACAGAGCAGACCAAACTGAAATGATCTTAGTGGGATCCAGGGGCTTCTGCCATGGCGTCCGAAATGTATAGAACAGAATCAAAAGTCAACGAGGAAATAAAAAGCTTTCTACCAGGAATTACAAACAGTTTGGAATCAGTGAAAAAGCAGAGCTCAGGAAGGAAATGCAGTTTATAAAAAAGAACAGGATGTGAATCATGAGCTAAAAAGTACGCTGACTGGGAAAAACCCCTCAATGAATGGGCCAGGAAGCACGTGGGGTTGACACAGGATTTAGCTGGTGAGCTGGGGATAGACAACACAAGTGACTCCATATGAAGAACAGAAAACAGAGTGGGGAAAAAGGAACAGCACATCAGGGGCTCTGGGGACAGTAAAAACCCTAAGATTACTGCAACTAGAATCTGAGAAAGGGAGGAGGAGAGGGTAAAGCTGGAAGAGTATTTGAAGAAGTAATGGCTGAAAATTCCCCAAGTTTGGCAAAAGATATACATTTACAGTCAGAAAGCTGCAGAAATGGTAAAAGTGACAAACCCAGATAAGTGCCATCATAATGAAGCTTCTGAAATGTAAAGACAAAGGGAGAATCTTCAGAAGATCCAGAGAGAAGTCAGCATCTTAGTCACTGTCTCATCATCAGGACGAAATACCTGACACCCAGAACCTAAAGGGGGCGGGATTTGTTCTGGCTCACAGGTGTAAGCCCATGGCTGGCGGAAGGCCCTGGTGGAGGAGACTGCTCACCTCCTGGAGGGTAGGAAGCAGAGGGAGAAGGGAGGAGCTGGGAGGGAGACAGACCCTTGTGCCCCCCGTGACCACCGCTTCAGCCAGGTGCTACCACCTAGCGGCGAGGCAGGCTTAGGGCCCCGATAATCCAATCACTTTCCAAACACAGGAGGCTTTTGGGGCCATTTTATTCTTTTAATTTTTGTTTTTAAAAATTAATTTTATTGGTACATTTTAGATAGGCATAATGATCACATTCACCTGAAGGACTTTATACCCAGACATAATATATCTCGATCTTTCTCTTTTCCTCAGTGCCCTCCCCTCCCTTCAACCCCTCCTTCTCTTAGTTATGAAAGCTTTGTTTTCATTTTTTCTTCTATTCTTTTTTCTTTTCCCTCCCTCCCTCCCCCTTCCTTTCCTCCTCTTCTTTCCCTTGTTCATATTCTCATTTGAACTCTTTCTGCCTCTGTCCCAATATCTGTTATACATTTTGGTCCTTATTTACCCTTCTGGTTTCTCACACTAGAGAAACAATGAGGTATTTAAACGTGTGTGTCTGATTTACGTCATTAAAAAATATGGTCTCGCCAGAGATTTAGCTCAGTGGTTCTGCTGCCTGCCCTGCAAGCAAAAGGACCCGAGTTTGATCCTTGGTACCAAAAAAAAAAAAACCAAAAAAAAAAAAAAACCCCACAAAGAATATGGTCTCAAGGTGCATCCATTGAGCTAGAAATATCCCAGATTTATTCTTCGTTATCCATTCATCAGTTTGTAATAGGTAAATCTTGGAAAACAGCCCAAATGCCCATCAACCAATGAATGGCTGTGGTATGATGCTTTCAACTCTTTCAGGAAGATACCAAGAAGAGGAATAGTGGGGTCAAATGGACCTCTACTTTTAGTTTGTTGAAGAGTCTCCACACTGATCTCTGCAGTGATTTGACCAGTCTACACTGCCACCAGCAGTGGAGCAGGGTTCCTTTTTCCCCAAACCCGTGTCAGCATTTTTACTGGTTGCTTTCTTGATAATACCATTCTTTCTGGAGTGAGATGGAATCTCAGTGTCGTTTTCATCTGCATCTCTCGAATGACCAGTGATGCTGAACATTTTTTCATACACTTATTTTTGGGGGCCATTTTAGCTCCAAATCATCGCATACAGGAATTGGAGGGAGAGTGAATTTCTCACCTGAACCCATGAGGCCAGAAGAAGGGAGTGCATTGTTCAAGTGCTGAGAGGAAAGACCTGTCAGCCTGGAATCTATATCTGGCAAGAGCATTCTTCAAGAGTGAAGGGGAAACAAAGACATGAAGAAAAACGTAAGAGGATTTGTTTCCAGATCTACCCTTGCAGAATGGTTAACAGAAGTTCTCCGTAAGAAAGTGACACCTGAAAAAGATACGGAGCTCAGAAAGGGAGGGTGAAAGTGGTGTTCAATGGGACAGAATCGCTTCCTGAATCCAGGATGGCTGCCTTCCTGATGGAGTTCTTAAAGCATATTTGGATGTTGAAGCGAAACATTGTAACATCACCTGATACAGCACTAAAGTGCATAGAAGGGACCCTTAATGACATCTTTTAAAGCGGGGAGGGCCCTGGACCCTAAGTGGAACCAAAGTGTCTACATGCAAAGTATCAAACTTCGCTGCCACTGGGCCACGGTAAGCGGTGTGTGTGTGGATGTTAAATCACATGCATGTGCTCAGAACATCAGTGGAATCTGAAAGAGCTGCGTGTACCAGTGCCAGGGCCCGTAGCACCGAGGTGGCCCTGGGGTCACAGAGATGCTTGCAGCGAGTGTCCTGGGTCTCCCTATGCTTTTTTTTTTTTTTGACTTTCAGTGAATTTACAATTATTTTAAAATTTAAAGTTAAAAAACACACTGGACAGAGTCTGTCCTAAAATAACAGAAATATTTTGTTTCAGTATTACAGTACTAGACTGTCTCATAGTCACAGACAACTTTTATAAAATGCCACTTTTAGACGAAACATTAAATATGCTTTGTAATATTCTTTCCATTTTACCCATTTAATTAAGGGAAACTTCACACTACTACAGATATACATCTAGTAGCATTTATTATAAGATAAACTTAATCTAAAATTTAATATAAAGACAACAAGACAGCGTTATTAAATTCCGAGGAGACACTGCTGTCTGTCGGTGTGTTCATCTTTATTAACTAACAAGGGCAGGGAGCGTCGGGGCATCCCGCATCCACCAGAGATGGTCCCGGCATTGTGTGCCGAAGGACTGATAAATAAAAAGGAGTGGCTTTCCAGTATGTCATGCGGTGTTTTTCAATGCTGGCTGCTCTGCCACCTAACATTATCTCTCTTACCCGTAAAGATGTTTGCTCCTGGCTTTAGGAACCCTTGCTCTGTCACAGTGCCGGTGAGAAGTTTCTGTGCTTTTCCGCTCAGAAAGGGAGATGGAGTGGAATGCGAGCGGGAAGGTGGGTTTCAGAAGCCCCGCAGAGCCAGGTACACATCCCTGGTAGCAGTTGTTGGGGCCACATGGCCACTGTGCACCTTGGTATTAGCGGGCACACATAAAGGGCACGGCCTGCCTGTCATGGATCTTGCCTGTCTTAGTTACTTGCTTGTTGCTGGAACAAGATACCCAACAAGTTAAAGGGTGAGTGTATTTTGGCTCAGTTTGTAGATGTTTCAGTCCTTACTCAGCTCTTTACAAGGCTGGGCGCCCTGGCAGAGGGACATGGTGGAGGAGGAACAGTTTATGGCAGGGCGGGCAGGAAGCAGGGATCATGGAAAGAGGAGGGAGACAGACCTGCCACACAACAACCAAAGTAACCCACCTTTTCCCACCCGTCCCACCTCCCACATGACAACCAGGGGTAACTCACTAGTGGACTAACTCACTGATCAGTGCCGCACACCATGATCCAATCACCTCCCCAAAGCCCTGTCTATGAGTGCATGAGGGGACATGCTAGATATGAGCCATGACACTGGCCCTGCAGGCCATAACCTGTCCTCTGTCCTGTTTCTTTCCTCATTGGCAAGCTCAGGATGACATTTCAGCCTCAGTCTCTAGTGCTCTGTGAGGATGGAATGAGTTAAGTGTGTGTGGCTATGTGGATTGAGTTGTCATGGTGATGGGGAGGCCAGGCCCTGGTAGGTCTTCCTCAGAATCCATGAGTCCTTGCCCCTTCACTCTGATACAGTCCTTGTCCACTGATGTCACAGATGAGGCAGCAGCCACTGAGCAAAGTCCTTGTTCAAGGGAGGTGGGACAGGTTCTTCTTGCAGGGAAGGCTCTGGAATTACAGAGCCAGAGAGGATTTCCTGGGGTTGGGTGTGGACAGGTGGGGATCAGAGGAGAAGAGGTGCTGCAAAGGAGGACGCACTGGGGCCCTGAGGGAGAAGCCAGGCTGGGCAGCAGGGAGACAGGGTTTTCCGGCAGCAACAGCAGCGCTCTGCTGCCAGTGCAGCGGGTTTGGTTTGGCCAGGCCTGGGTTAGGGGAGGGCACTTTGGTGCTTTGGGGGCTGCGAGCTGAGCTCCGAGGAGGCCACTCCTGTGGTGATGGGAGGCTCCACAGTGGGAGGTGGGTGCCAGGGCCCTGAACTGTCCCAGGGCTTGTCCCTGTGCTTCCCGGGGGGCCTTCCCGGATTGTCACCCCTGTCCTCACACATGCCTGGCAGAGGGGTGCACAGCTGTCCTCGTCTTGATGTCCGGGGTGAGGAAGCTGAGCCTGAGGGAGGAGAGGAAGCTGGAGTCACCCACCCTCGATTCGCCATCGTGTTCCCTCCCCGGGCCAGGCCAGGCCCTGCCTCCTCCTTCCCACATGGGTGGTGGCTTTTCAGTGACTGCTTTCTGGAGCACAGAGTTCAGAGGCCCTGCCTCCGCCCAGGGCCTGAATCTCCCACCGCTCTGGAGGAGGTGGTGGCTGCACGTGTTGTCTGTGTCCCAAGTATGAGGCCACCCGTGGAGTACACGGCACCACCAGAGCATTGTGGGATGAACGAGTCGTGGACGACCGGCAGAGAAAACCATTTGCTTTCACTGCGCTTCCTCACACACAATCTAAACCTGGGGCCCAGGCGCCCTTGCCCGCAGGAGGCTGACGCTGCTTTGTCTCTGCTCAGGCCAACGCGGGAGAGCGAGGACGAGGAGGACGAGGAGCGCAAGGGCCGAGGCTGCTCCCTGCAGTACCAGCACGCCCTGGTGCGCGTCCTCACCCAGTTCGTGGCCGGGGCGCCAGACGCAGGCCAGCTGACCTACATGCTGGGCCCTGACTGGCAGTTCGACATCACCAACCTGGTCACCGAGTTCATGAAGGTGGAGGAGCCGAAGATCGCCGAGTTACAGGATGGCAGGACGCTGGCCGGGCGGGAGCCAGGAATAACCACCGTGCAGGTACAGCTGTCCCTCTTGGCACCTGGCCCAGCTCCCGTCTGTCCTGATGAGCAGCCAGGGAGCTGTGGCTACCAGGGACACGCACGTGGGTGAGAGTGTGCATGCACACCCAGGAGAGTACGGGTCAGGGTGCCTGGAGCAAGTGTGTGTGTGTGTGTCAGAGAATCGTGAGAAACGACAGAATACTAAGTGAAAAGGTGGTTTTTTGCATTTTAGAGTTGAGGATTACTGAATCTTTTACCAGGGAAAGCTACAGCAAACACAAGTGCGATCTTTTCCTCGATGTAATGTTGTACTTCTTAAAACATACCCTGTTTGGCATGCTGGGGATTGAACTCCTGCTAGGCCAGTGCTCTACCACTGAGTAACATGCTCAGCCCTTTTTCCAATTTTCTTTGGAGACGGGGTCTTGCTAGTTGCCCAGGCTGGCCTGGAACTTGCCATCCTCCTGCTACTTTACTTTTTGTGCAGTATATTGCCAATAGAAGGTAGTCAAATCTCTGAAAGCTTATTTTCCCCATGCCTGGAAGGATAACCATTTCGCTACACAATATATTGGTTGCACTAAATGTGGATTCATTAGCTGTATTTCAGGAGTAGACAGATTTTTAAAAGCATATATTTGCAGAAAATGTTACAGAGTGTTTTCTCTATACAAACTTAAACTGTTACCGCTTATCTGTTCATATTTTAGGTGTTGGCAAAGTTGGGTTACATGTGTTCTAGCCTGTATTTGTCTCTGTTTCTGTGTAACAGGTTACCACGACTTTGGCATCTTACAGCAGCACTGATTTCAGTGTCCCGGGGTGGGGGGGCTCTGCGCTCCAGGTGCCCCGAGGCCGGGGTCAGGCCTGGGCCCCCCCCCCCCCGTGGGAGTCTGGGGAAATAATTGGCCTCAGACGGACTCAGGTCCTCAGAAGAACTTAGCTCTCTCGGTTTGGCAGCCCTGAGGTCCCGTTTCCTTGCTGTCCTGAGGGGACCCTCACACTGCTTCTCACTGGCAGTCTCCGAGTTGTGAGGCCAGCTGGGCCACGGGACATCCCATGGTTGCAGGGGGCTTTCTTCTCGGGGCTGTGGTTCCAGGGTTAGGGCCGGGCATCTTTCGGGTGGCCGCTCCAGAAACGGCCTGCAGAGCGCTAGGAGGAGGCTTCAGGGCAGTTTCGTGGGGCAGCGGCTGAGGGTCTGTTCGCTCCTCAGGTCCTCTCGCCGCTGTCGGACTCCATCCTGGCTGAGAAGACCGTGCTGGTCCTGGATGACCGGGTCACCATCGCAGAGCTGGGCGTGCAGCTGGTGGCTGGCCTGTCTCTTTCCCTGCAGCCTCACAGAGCAGACAAGAGGGCTGTCGTCTCCACAGTGGCTGCCCAGGACGTCCTCCGAGCCCCACAGCAGGTGAGAGCCCCAGAGGCCCCGGCCCCGGGCCGTGACGCCACTGCCTGTGTCTGTTGTGGCATCCAGCAGAGCTGCTGACTCCTCGCCCTTCCTGCTGTCAGTCCAGCCTCGCTGTCTCTGAGAAAAGCAGGCAGAGCCTCGGGTACATTTCCCTTTGCCATGTGCTCCCCAGTGGGCCGGTGTGTGCCAGGCTCAGCCTGCTGCTAGACCGTGAACAAAAGATCGTGTGCTCACCTTTGCCAACCGAACAGGTGACTTGTGATGCTTGGAAATTCCATTCAGCCACTTGAACAGGGCTGGCTAACAGGCCCCAGATTGCTGCTGTTTACTGCAGTTATTGCCGAGTCAACAACTCTCCTCCATCTTTAAACTTTTATAAATCCTTTATAAATCCTTTATAGACACAGGGGTCCTGAGCCGTACAAGCCAGCCAGCCTCGTAGTACAGTGCTGACTGAGAGCTCCCATGCAGTGGTGCTTTGCTTCCTAATAAGGATGTGCACAGGGATGTTATCTGAGCAGGAGCCTGATTAGCTGCACCTGAAGTTGATTCAGACAAATTTCCTGATCTTTCAGAGTGTTTTTGGAAAGGTCAAAGTCAAACTCTGTGGTGTGGCGTGCAATAAATTAATTTGCACTTTAATGCATTCATTAAAGCATATTATTTGTTCCTCCTACCATGGGGCTACAGCACTTTATTGATGCCCACTCAAGAGATAATAAGAACCATTCAAGATTAGAAAACAGAGAAGTTTACTTTTCTCTGTATGTTTAAATAACGGACACAGGAAATCTTACCTATGTTTGTAAATTTGAAGGAATCCGATTGTAACATTATGCTTTGGCTTCATTTTCCTCCTTAGGAAGCAATAGTCAGTACGTGGCTGTTGTTCAGTGATGGTTCGGTGACGCCACTAGACATTTACGATCCCAAGGATTTTTCCATAACCGTGTCATCGCTGGATGAAATGGTGGTGTCCGTCCAGCCAAACCTTCGGTCCCAGTGGCCGGTCGTGGCTGCAGAGGGCCAAGGACAAGGGCCCCTGATTAAGCTGGAGATGATGATCAGTGAGCCTTGCCAGAAGACCAAGAGGAAGAGCAGTCTTGCTGTGGGCAAGGGAAACGTCAAGGTCAGGTTTGAGCCAAGTGTTGACGGGCACCAAGGAGGCAGCAACGACATCGAGGGCGTGAGCCGAGAGTACAGAGACCACCTCAGTAACTCCATAGAGCGGGCGGGAAACCAGGAGCGAGCCGTGCAGGAGTGGTTCCAACATGGCGCACCCGCTGGCCAGGAGGAAAGGACCCGCGGAAGTGCAAGTCCGCAGCCTCCGGTGGGAAGAAAGGACGAGAAGGTTCTCAGAGGCAGAGGTGCAGACGCCTTCACCAGCTTCCCCACTCAAGGGAAGTCGCCCGACCCCAACAGCCCCAGCGACCTCGCGATGAGCCCGAGGGGCCTCACGGACCTGGAGATCGGCATGTACGCCCTGCTCGGCGCCTTCTGCCTGGCCATCCTGGTCTTCCTGAGCAACTGCGTGGCGTTCGCCTGGAGATACAGACACAAGAGGTTCGCGGTGAGCGAGCAGGGCAGCATCCCGCACTCCCACGACTGGGTGTGGCTGGGGAACGAGGTGGAGCTCCTGGAGAACCCGGGGGACGTGACGCTGCCCTCCGAGGACTGCACGGCCGCGCTCGAGCGGGGACTGCAGCTGGAGGAGAGGAACTTCCTGCTGAACGGCGGCTCCCTGAAGACTTTCCATGGCCAGCTGCTCAGACCTCCCGACTGTGTCTATGAGAAGGAGATGAAGAACGAACCCGTGAGTTCTTCGGGCCCGAAGAGGAAGCGGGTGAAGTTTACTTCCTACACCACCATCCTCCCCGAGGACGGCGGCCCCTACACCAACTCCATCCTGTTCGACAGCGATGACAACATCAAGTGGGTCTGCCAGGATATGGGGCTGGGGGACTCGCAGGACTTTAGAGACTATATGGAAAGACTGCAGGACCAGATGTGAGCTCCTTTTTTATGTTTGTATTCACCTTTATGCCTTCTGTTTTCGGGACGGTGGAGCAGTGAATCCGATCAGCAATAGGGATGACTTAGCAGAGTTTACCTGGTGGAGGCCTGGCGGGATGTCTACCTAGGCAGGCTTCGGAGGCCTGGGGGCACGGCTGCTGGGCTTTAACCAGAAAATGCCTCTCACACAGCTGCACACAGGGCCTGGAGAAACCCTAAGAAAACGGTCTCTCTCCTGCCCGCTCCGAGCTCGGTGCACGTACAATAAACCCGACCCCACAGACGATGTGAGTCCTCTCACGGCAAACGGTAACTAGGAAGGATCTGGGGGGTGACTTTTCTACTCTTAGACCTTTTAAAGCACAGTGGATACTCAGAGCCCTTGGCCTGAGTCGAGACATATGTGAGAGATAACTGAATGTAGCTTCCTTGTTTGTTAGGTCGCTGCTCGTTATTTTTTATATACATTTGCACCCGCACCTGTTCCTTTCTCCTCTGGATTTTCTTTCTTTTTTCTTTTTTTTGTTTTTTGTGAAATGTGAAGCGAAGAAATTTCAGTCTTCCCTTTGACATCCTGTTTGATTTTCACGCGTGTTTCACTCCCTGGGACGTGCCACACCCTTGTCACTTCCTGGGTGCCTGCAGGATGTCAGGTTCGTCCAGCTGTCTGCACTGTGGAGGGGCGGAGTCTAAGAAGTTTCTTCTCACTTTGTGGTTCCTTTTTTGTTCAGCTTTCCTGAGTAAGACTGGGGTGGGGTTTACTTAAAGTGTTACTATCCAGGGAGGGAGGGCCATTTCTTTATGGTTTTGTACAGGAAGCTTAAAACATTTGGAGAAAAGTTGTGAATCACAAACATTTGTTTTTGTCATCTGCTTGTTGAAAATTCTGAGGAGCTCCTGGAGTGCATTTCTGAGGACAGAAAGACCCCAACATAGCTGTATTTATAGCCGTATTCTTTGTGGTCAACAGTATATTATCCAAGCTGACATCTAAAAGTGGAATTGATCCTACACAGAAAGGAAATTGCCTAGGAAATATCTTCAGACTAAACTTTCCATTTTACCAGAACAAAAACAATGTTTTAATGGTGTCTAAAAAATTAGCAATATATAGAAATCCATCCATACAGTGACCAAGAAAAACAAATCTCAACCGTGACCCTGGCAGAGGTAAAACTTTTGCAGGTATGCATTGGTGGAGAAAAGCAGCAGGTTCCCCCCAAATTCATAAAAATAAATGGCTACTCCACAGCCTAAGAAGCTGGCCTTATGAGCAATCCACACCTATGGAAAAATGAAAGTGGTCAGAGAATAAAAAAGATTCCTGCATAATCTTAAAATAAAGTTACTTAAGAACATTGTGGATGGCCACAGGCAGAGCAAGATTTTCAAATAAGCAAAATGTGAGTTTTATTTGTTAAGATGGCATGAGCGGAAAGCAGCGCACTGGCATGCCCCATCATGAGTTAACCAAGCCATTTGCATCTGCATAAAATGGAATTTTAAAGGCCCAAAGTAAGAAGGACACGCATGAGGTCACCTGCAGCAGGTCCCTGGCTCCAAAAGGTTGGTGACCAAGCTATTCAAGAGAGAGCTTGTCTTGTTCAAATGTTCTCGTTTTAGATTCCCATAGGTGGGAACATGGCAGTCAACCTCTCTGAGCTGTGAAGTAGCGGACAGGAAGTCTGCCTTGGCTTGCACTGCAGTGTGCGCACACGGGGCCGACTGCACAGGGGACCCGGGCCTGGGGTGCAGGAGCTGGGGTCCTGTGAGTGGGGCTTAGGGACCAAGGCTGGTGGGATTGCAAGGAGCTTGAGTTTGCTGGAGAATGGAGCAGGGGGTCCAGCATCAGCGCCCAGGAGTTTACACACTGGTGTCCGGCCCCTCTGAGGAGGAGCCCCCAGTTAGCCAGCAGCCTTCGGAGATGGCCGGGGAGGTGGTCCTAAGCCGGGCAGAAGAAAAGTGCACACACTGACTGACATGTGGCTTTCCAGGTACGTGGGGCTCCTCTCAGAGGTATTCTCAACACTGCCTCCCGTAGGGTCTTCAGTGTTCACGAGACCATGGGGGCTCATTCCCCAGTGTGAGGTGCCTCACTGAATGGGGTCCCACTGGCACAGGGAGACTGGGGCAGTTGTGTAGCTAGTTTAGAAGGAAATTACCATTTCTGTGGTTGTGAGGTTCAGGAACCTACCCAGGGGTGCATTTCCTGTGAGGGGAGAACCTGGCTGGGGGGGGGGGGGGGCGGCGGGTGTAGGGCTTGCTGCTCCCTGAGCCGGGAGCTGACCATGGTCCTGAAGATGCCCTCAGGGACCACGCACTCACCACCTCTGCGTCTGTGTTAGAACTCCGTCAGTTCAAAAGAAAAGTTAAGTGGGAGGTCGTGATGGTTCCTTTCATCACACAACATTCACGTGTAAACACTCACTATACACCTGAGTACTGAGGAGTCAGTGGGAGTCAGGAGTGGCTGTCGTCATTCTCAGCTTGGCATGGATGTTTTTCAGTGTAAGAGAGTTTCACAGTTGCATTTTGGTCTCCAAGTACTGCTTGAGATCCTAAACCGTGGCTTGTATCACCTTGTTTTCCAGCTAGTCAGTTACAGTTATTAAGCACTATGCTCAAAAATATCTAAACTAAACTGGAAGAATGTAAGATGCCAAGCCTGGAAGTCCAATTTCCCAGAGGCCACGCAGTTTTCTTGGGTTCTCTAGGTTCGTAAGGCTGAAGTGTCCAAACTATGGGTCGCAGTAAATAACCTGAACCGAACAGGGGCTATGAGGTCCCTTCCTTTCCCACGAGAGTGGCATCTCAGAGGAGGAAGGAGAAAACCTTTCCAGGGGTACAGGCTGTGGACCCTGTGGTCGCACAGAGGAGGGTTGAGGCACAAGACAAAGATTACAGGACCCAGAGCAGCAGAAGGCAGGCGACCACTGCTCCAGAGTCCAGATGTGCTGTTGTTGGGACCAGGAAGCGGCGGGATTTCCATTTATAAATATGAAGGGAGTGAACACATGGATTGATTTTAGTCCATCTGTAGACTAATTTTTACCTTGCTAATTTTAAGTTTTAGGAAAGCTATCTTTGTACATTTTGATCAACATTCTTGTTTCCTTTTTTAAGAAAGGGGTCATTCCAATGTTGGGATGTTGGAAACACAGTAAAAATTGTGTTTGCCAGTGAAGAACTTACAGTCCAAGAGCAATGACCAGGGCAGGTGGTTTCATCTGAAATCATACATGTCATTGGCACCTTGGAGGATTCTACTCTAATCCCCTGAAAAAGGGTCTCAATTCTCCATTTCCTCCTCTGTGAATGATGCCACAGCTGGTTTATACACTCAGTAACCCATTCCCCAATAAACATGATCTGTGTGTAATGTAATGCTGATCACCTGTTTTGTAAATGGGCAGAGTGGGGGGTGGAGAAGTTATGCTGAAATATGGATAGCAGCTATTTTTGTATGTAATATAGGCAATATACTGAAACTCTGAGAGTTGTATTGGAATAAATACCCTTTAAAATAAAAGCATGCAAAACTGTAGCTTTTAAATGTACAGACAACCAGTTCAAAAATATTTAAACTGATGGGAAAACCACTGAAGCCTGGCATCGTGAAACTAGGGGCTGTGGCCTGGACAGTCTGCGGCTCACGTTGGGACGGTCGGTGGGATCTGCCAGAACACTTTCACCTCCCCCTTCCTTCCTTTTGGATTTTTCTTTCTTTCCCCTCCTGGAAATCTTTCAGAACTAAAGTGACTTCATTTTCCAGCATAAACGTATATTCTAACCACAGGGTAACTCATCCTTTTTAACATGAAAATAAACATTTAAATATCCTTCGATTGGTTTCATTATTTTATCCATGTATTTCCACCTTAGTTTCTGGAGCTGTCTGACTGGTGGTATATGTGTGTGTGTGTGTGTCTATATTTTCCTTTCTTTTCAGCCAAAGATTTTAGCACCCTTGATACAGCAATAAATGCACACGAAAGGAAAACTCCCTAGAAGTTGCAGTTTCTCCGTACTAACAGCTCCGCGCATGTTCTGCAGATGGGTCGGGTGTCTCCTGAAAGTGCGCCTGTGCATCTCTCAGCCTGTCCAGGGCCGAGCCCTCTTGAAGCCCAGTGCTAATGCATGGGCCGTGTGGCAGCCTCTGGCCTCTTCGGCCTTCTGGTCTTTGCTGGCCAGTGGCTTGGTTATGTGTCTGTATTTGGGTAGGGACTTTGCATGGGGTCTGGGCTTCAGGGTGCTGTGGACCCAGACAAGCAAGCTCTAGACCTGGAAACAAAGCTCTAGCCAATCAGGGGCTGTGCTTTGGTTCCACAGAGGGACTGGTGTTTGCCTGGTGGGTCCTCAGGGGCTCTCTGCTAGCACCGCCTGTGGCATTTTGGCAAACACCAGCCCTTGCTTTCGAAATGAATCGGGACATCTCTCTGGCTACACCTTCATCATGTCATAAGGTTGTCCACACCACACCTAGTCTTTCTCCAGGCCCTACAGACATCTGCAAATGCTAGCTTACGAAACTGAGGCTGTGGAGTAACAGGTTTTCTTACTTTTAAAATAAAATCAAGTGAGGCTAACAGCTCTCTCAGGGTGTGGCCCCACCATCAGGATCGCCCCTCCGCACTTGGGTGACTGTTTCCCCTGAGAACACAGGACCGAGCCATGCAGCCCTGCCACTCACCCCCATCACGGTGTGTCTGTACAGTTTAGTAAAACCTATCTCAGAAAAAGAAGGGAAAAAAGAAAGTTGGAAACGAGATTTGCAATAGAATGAACCTTTCTGTTTGGATTTTTGTGTACGAGTGAAAAATGCAACTACTGCACTTCACCTTTTTTGGCATTGAAATTCTTGGTGCCTGTTAGTTCCTTTGTGGTTTTGTACAATTTAAATAGGCTAGGCAGTGTTTTCATTCTTCGCTTTTAGAAGTTTCTAAAAGAACAAAAGTACAGACACATCCTAACTGGGCTGCCGTGTTTATGGACTATTCTGTGGCTCGAGCAGGGCAGCATCATTTGCCAGATGGGAAAAAATGATGTAAGTCCATTAGGGAAATTATCTTCCCAGTGGAGGAAGCAATAATGTTATCAACTCACAATACTGGACAATCTGTGTGTTCTGTGAAATGTCCTTAAAATCTCTTTGGTTTTAACTTCGGCTCCTGGTCAGTTGTCCAGGTGAAGCATCGTAATTAAATGTTAAGGACTGAAGTTTCTCTGGATGCTGCTGAAATGGAGAGATAACCTTTTATACATCTATGCTGCCCATTGTAATAAAGCACTTTACAAACAGACGGATGCTGCCGAGGAATTTGGGGTCTGTGTAATGCTGATTTTTCTATCCATTTGAAATACTGCAGTCTTCCTCCAGTATCTGGGGGCTTTGTTTCAGCTCACTCCCCAAGTTTACCAAAACCTGAGGATTATCAAGTCTCATACACAATGGCGTGGTATATGCATATAACTTACACATATCCTCCTGTGTATATGAAGTCATCCCGGATGACTTATAATACCTAACACAGTTGTCAATGCTGTGTAAATAGTTGTTACATTGTATAGTTTAGAGGATGATTACATAAAAAGTCTATGTGTTCAGTACAGATTTAGTTCTTTGAACATTTTTGACCTGAGGTTGGCGACAGCATGGATATGGAGAGTACAGCCTAAATCACCTCGGACATGACAGTTCTGTTTACGGTTCCTTTGGTCAAAAAAGCACACAGCACTTCCTATTTTCCACGCTAAGTTTAGAGCCTAAATCGTCTCCTGCTTTGTTGTTAGCGCCTCTGTAGGAATCTGACTCATTAAATGCCGTAACACAAAGTGCCAGTGTAGACACTGCGCATGCATTCTAGTCACTTTACAGAGACACTTCCCTGGAAAGAGGGCTTTCTCCCCATCCTAATCACTTTATGAGTTCTAACTGGTCCATGTGCCCTACACCGTGCGAGCACGCTCCGTTCTTACCAGCCTTGTAGGCTGACAAGGAGAGCAGGCCTCCAGCTTTCCAGCATTGCTGCTTTGTCATCCTCACTTGTTCCTCAGTCTCCCCAGGGTGCATCTGTACCTGCGAAGGGAGCTACAACCATCACGGTTCTCTAGTGCGGTGTGCTGCCCCCAGGCCCCATTGCATACACGCAAGATGCCAGCCCGCCAGGCAGAGGGGCTGCAGTGCCTCCTCTCAGCATGGATCCAGTGACTCTGCAGCTGCCCTCCACCTGCGCCTTATTTTTAGATGATGGCAAGAACAAACCCACTGCCCAACCTCTCTTACACATCAGTGTGCATTTAAGCCACTGCCAATACTATGGAAGGCAGGAGCCAAGAGGCGAGAGCTAAATAGGAAAGGAGGGGTCACCTGGGGTAGACGAGTGGCTGTGAAATACTACAAGACACAGCCACACCCACACACCGCTGTCCAGCAGGTCCATGATCTCGGGGCTGTCACGTGAGTCTTATGACCCATGCTTTCCACAGGGCTGCTTAGCTATGGTGTGTCACAGGAGTGGGATGTTGTCTCACAGTCTCACTGTGTCCTGGCTGCCGGTTCCAGCCTCAGACTCATCACCAAGGTGCATCCAAGTGAGCACACAAACCCACTCAGCTGGTGGGTTGTGCACCTTTGAGAGGGTCCAAGACAGCAAATGGTAGGAACAAACTTTGGGCATTTGGGGAATAAAAAGAAGGTGCCATCCTTCACTTCTCACTTTTCTCAATTGGATTCTCGTTCCCTGGTGAACACAGATGTTATAAATAGAGCATGCGGTTCTAACATTGTGTTTTTAAATACTCTTTGGTTGGAAACCAATCTGTCTCTTTATATCACCCATGGCTTTTGGTATGACATAGTGCACGTTCCACAGGTATACTTAACGTGTCTGTAAAGGCATTTCCAAACATGTTCGAAAAATGCAGAAATAAAACATGTTGGATGATTCCTTGTGATAGTAAGACAGCTAACGGGTAGATTCTAGGCTTCTTCAAATAGACACCCTAAGGGAGTGCTGAGGAGCCTCCAGTCCAGAACAGAGGCAGATGCGACGTCATCTCCACTGTCGGAGTAGTCATGGCGTTGACAGTCACTGTCTGAGATCTTGAGAATTACAGCGCAGAACGACTGATTTAGGTGTAAAGACAGGATTGCAAGGGAAACAGACTTTCTCTTGGCCCCAGGCTCACTCTGGGCACACATCAGGAGAGTCCAAGTCACACTCACTGTCCCTGGCTTCTGGAAAGGAGACTGTCGTGGCCCCTGTCTCTGGCAAAGACAGGCAGCCCCAGGTCTTGGAGAAGGCTAAGAGCAGCTCATCTGTCCTTACATCTTCCAGGGTTGAACTCTAAAGAGAGTAAAACTCTTTTCAGGCGTGTCCCTGCCAGCCAGGGGAAGGCATTTCTGTGTATAAAATCAGAGCGGCAGGAAAGCTGGTTGACACCCCTGGTTGCAGTTGACAGTCACAGCCTTGGGATGTGCTGCATGCCGCACTGGAATAACTGGTGTCTTAGGAATTGGTCCCCACTGCTCCACTCCATACATCCAGGAGAAACGCCCCCGGCATGCCACGCGCCTGCCCTCTACGGACAGTTGGTCCCATCACTGTGCTGCCTGAACTAGAGTCGGCTTGGCTGATGAGCTCTCTCAAGTTCAGCTTTAGGAAAGAAAATATTCTCCCACCAGAGTGTTGGGGTGGCTGTTGCAAGCAGTTGTGGCAACTGTGAGGCAATATCCAGGTCTAGCTGAGCACCGTGGTTAGGTGTCCACGGCCTCCTCTCTAGACACAGACAGCTGCTCACAGGGACCCCTCCATCCACGTGCAGTGAAGTGACTTTATGACCAGAGAATGGCTGGGCTGCGTGCCTGGGTCTCACGCCGTGGGTGCCCCTCACGAAGGAGGTGAAGCAGAACTCCAGAAGGCCGCAGCCCCAAGACACTTCCACCACGTGGGAGCAAGGTAAACGCAGGTGAGCTCCTGTGGAGGGCTGGGTTTGAGCCCGGCCGGAGCTGTACGGGCAGAGACCCTGGCGTGGTACTATAGGCCACTGCTGTCTCTTTCAGACATCCTGCACTTAAACATGCCCTAGGTGCAACAGTGTAACTGTGTTCATGTTTTATGTAGTTAAGAAAGGAGATGAGACATGCATTGCATCATGTTTCATGACTGTGTAGTCACTTTTACCAATGAGACTGGTTTTGTGCAGTGGCTTGGAATTACTCTCTGGGGTCACCCGATTTCACCCTGAAGAGCTTCCTGTAGCATTTGTTACAGGGAAATCTTCTAGCAATGGATTCCCTCAGGGGTAGTTTACCTGGGAATATCTGCACTTAGTGTTCCTTTCTGAGGGATATTTTCCCCCCAGAAATAGGATACTTGGCAATTTTTGTCACCACTTTGAACATATCATCCAGTTCCCTTCTGACCTCCAGAATTTCTGATGCAAAAGTAGGTGTTACTTTTGTTGTGGTTCCTTGTATGTGATGGGTTATTTTTCTCTTGCCACCTTCAAGATTTTCTCTTTTAGCATTTTTGTTATTATGTGTGACTGTGGATCTCTGCATTTATTTTACTGGGAGTGTGTTGAACTCCTTGGATGTAGAGATTAATGTTTTCTATGAAATTTCAACAATTTTTTTTTTGTACTGGGGATTGAACTTGGGACCTTGTGCTTTCGAGGCAGGCACTGGAACCACTGAGGTAAATCCCTGGCCCTCAACAATTGTTTTTAAAAATTTGCTCCATTGTCTTTTTTTCTTGTACCCCTTTCATGCGTATGGTTTCACACATGTTTCTGAGGCTTTGCTTATTTTTATATATTCTTCTTGTTTTTGGTACTGGGG